CTTCAGTCCACCGATCACTACTGATTAACAGATGCTCATCATGATCAGTGACCAATCACATCACTTCTTTCAGAGTCTCTTGATGATTGGTCACTGCATCTGTTTACTCAGTCCCCTACACACAACAAAGTGGGTAGTTGTGCTGTCTCCTTGTCTCATTGGTAAACCCATGTGACATTTTACAAAAATGGGTAATGGAAATAGGGAATTGGTCAACAAAGATGAAAGCACAACAGAGAAACAGGGATAATACTGGAAGTGACATCCAAATCATGTTTAAGTGAAATTAGAGAAGAAATAGCTAACCAAGGGAATGTTGACACTCAGTTTATGGAACTTCTTGGCATAGATGCAGAAAGGGGTTATAAAGAAAGGGACAAAGATGTCACAGAAGTGACATCAGCCAAAAACTTCACAAAATTGTGAAATGAAACAAACTCTCAGAACTATTTTATGACATTAAAAGCTCAAAGGATTAAAATATTGAAAGCTGTTCTAGACTTAAAAAGAAATATAACAATGCTGCAAGGAGGGCATAGGGAAGATTTTCATTCTGTAGCATTTCATTCTCATGACAGGAAGGCTAGCAGTGTTCAAACTACCCTTGGTAAGTTGTTTACAAAAAAGTAGAATAATTCTCATTGTTTCTGTTGTTTTAAATTATTGTGTACTATATAAATATTAGTTTTACTCTTTTTTAATTTCCCTAAATGGTAAAGGTCTTAATGTTTTAACAAAAATTTTTAAAGTTTGTGAGACAATCATAATTTCCCCCACTGATTATCAAGATTGCTTTGCGTGATTTAACCTTGCTTTGCTTGCATGGTCATGTTTGTGGTCTGCGCCAATGTGCGAGGTGAGGGCTGCTGTATCACCAAGTAGTAAGTATGTGTAATTTCTGTTGGAGCAAGACATAGGAATTTTGCAGAATTCATATTACCTTCCCCTGTTGAAACATTATCAATTATTTTTGGGTATTGTCCTGTGGTTATTTTTTTCTGGGAGTACTAATAATGACAGTAGATCAAGCTCATTTTTTTTTTTCTGTGAGAGATAAATGTTAATCTTTATTGCAAACAAAAGTTTTTTTTTTTATTAAGGTATCATTGATATATAATCTTATGAAGGTTTCACATGAGCAACGTTGTGGTTACAACATTCACCCATATTATCAAGTCCCCCTCACACCCCATTGCAGTCACTGTCCATCAGCATATTAAGATGCTATGGCAGCTCATTTCTTTTTGAAGAAGGGAAGATTGTCTCTGATAAATGGCCAAGAAGCTCCCTTCTGCTGGTGCAGGATTTCATAAGGGTCTTCTGTCACTGAGCACTCTGTATGTTTATGTGCATATCCCGCTTCCACATCAGTGGACAGTTTGTGGTGGTTTTCAAATGATGTAAATACCCTGTTGAGAAATATTTTCACTACTGGGAAATTACTTACTGTCTTTCCTCCCTGCCATCTGCTTTTAGCCATGAAAGAACCTGGGAAATTTGATTTGGTGTATCACAACGAAAACGGCACTGAGGTAGTGGAGTACGCTGTGACACAGGAGAAGAGGGTAGGCACGCTTCTCTTCTTGGGGTTGCTTGGTCATCCTTTCTCTACTGGTTACTGGTGGTCTGGAAGCTGACATTGCAGAGCCTATGTGACAAGACGCAGAAATAACAAACTCTTGTTTAAGTCTAGAATGGCATAAAAGCATAGTTAATTAAGGATTTCAGTAGAGAGTAGCATATTTTTAAGAACTTTTTATTGATGTATACATTTAGAAAGTGTGCATAAGTGTATATAGCTTGAATGATTTTCTCAAATGAATATATCCATGTAACCAGCACCCTGATGAAGAAATAGAACATTAACAGCCTCTCTGGAAATAAATCTCCATTATGTTTCTTTGCAGCCACAACTAGCCACCAGATGTTACCATGATTCTTAATGTATAACAAAATCTGAAGAATGACATAAAATGATGATTCTGTCTCTTGATTTTTCTTAAATCCTTAAACTGCCATTTTAGGGAGTATATCATTTATAGAGTTTTTTAAGCAGCCAGACTTCCAGAGTTGCTGGCAATGGCTGGCTCATTAGGCTATGCTAGTGTTGAAGTAAATAGACTTTATATTTAAGAAAATGCTTTCTCTTACGGTGTTTATAGTTGAAATGTTTTAGATATTATTCTGTAAGTTTCAGTCTTGCAAACTCTCATTTTACCTGAAGTGTAAAGAACCTGTAGAAACCCTAGCCAGACTGTATTATTTTTGCTTAGTCTTTAGGACAGATGACATACTTAGAGATTTGTTCCAAAGACACATTTTTAGGGTCTGTCGTAGGATCAACAGATTTGGCCCAGTCTCCTGTAATTCTTTATTTGCAACATATGCAGCCCCCACTTTTTTGTTGAAATGTGTTCTGGAAACTACATCGGAAAATTAAACGTAAAGCTTTCCTTTTCCATGCCTTTTACTGAACAGAGGCCTGAAGTAGAGCCTGTAATTACCTTTTTTGACACTAGATGGCCCTCATCATCCATATAGCCAAGTATCAGAGTTTGCTTTCCCTTGGTAAAATGCCTGTTTTTAGGCAGCACAGAGTAAGAACTACAGAGCTACACAAAAGGGCATCAGCAGCCTAGTGATAACCTTTTTGGACCATATCTGCTTCCAAAGAGGTCTGTGGGCCACGTGTCCACAGGGTCTTATTGGACAAATCCTCTTGCTTCTTGATAACTATTTACCCCATAGCCTCCCCCTTTCCCCCCAACCCTGCCCAACTCCTGCTTGAAATCAAAGATGTAAAGTTTCTATGTGAAGTTTAGTTGCATTCTAGGTAAACAAGTTCTCATACCCTTATTGAAGTCAGTTTAACTGGGACTTAAATTATTCCAGGCCTTCATTCTGTGCAAATGGAAATTTTCTTGACTGAAGTTTTTTAGTCACTAAAATCTATAGGACCTCCAGATGAAGTCTCTAAACTGAATACTTTGCATTTTTCCTCAGATCACTGTTTTTTGGAGAGAGTTGATTGATCCAAGACTGATTGTTGACTCTCCGAATAACCCATCAAGTTCAGAGCTTGCCTTAGTATGACCTCTCCACCTGATAGTTTATAAACGTCTTGTTTGTAAAAGTGACTGTAACCTGAACTTTAAAAAAAAAAGATTTGAAAGGTGTATGCGTTTTGTTATCTTCACTTTACTGCATAGGAAAAAAATCTACCTCATGATTTAAAATAACATGGGTGTTGTTTTTGTAGACCTTCCCCCCAACCAGGTTTAATTTCAGTAACAAAATTTAAAACATGACATTCCCTGCAGGCATTGTTATAAACCAATGTGTATAATTTCTTCTCTTTTTTTATTTTTTTGACCATCAAGTAGCCATCGTCAGTAGGAGTTTATAATACCAAGTGCAAGAAAGTGCTGCATATCTTGTCTCAGTAAGTCTTATTAAGTAACATTTTAAACATGAAAGCATGTATATTTGACCTAATTTTTTAACATTTGAGTTGTTCTACTAAATGTGGAACATCTTAGAAATTTCAAGTATTTTATACGTGGAATTATCAGGAATTAACAAGTAGTTGAGTTTGTTGAAGTAATGAGTTAAGGAATCCTTTCACATTTTTCTCAACTTTAAAATTAAGGCTTCTCAGGGTCTGTGCAGATCAGTTGAGAATAAGACCTTATGTGTGTGCCTAGGGAAGAATGGGTGTCCCACTGGGTGAGAGGATCCACTCTGAGTCAGACCAAGGAGTGTGTTACTTTGCTTCAAGATCCCAAGCACCTGATTGAGTATGCTGGAGTGAGGATCTCAAACAGAAATGTCCTTTTCTGTTATTAATAAACACAAAGCTAAAGTGGCTAAATATATACTATGAAAATCACTGGAAAAAAAAGATCAGATTCCTCCTTCAGCTTTGCAGATTCTTAAATAAAATCATATTGAACTAAACTTCCATGCTGAGTCCTCATCTTTAGTTGAGTATTGGCAAATCACTCTTATTTTACAGTAAAGACATTAAATTTGTCTGGGACACAGTTTGCCTAGACTGAAGAATCTGGTGTTGAAAAGTTTAGTTCAGCAGAGTTTGTTAGATCTGGGAGCTGTTGGATTAATGAAGATGCTGTGTAGGTTTAATTTGCATGACATTGGTGTCTATCAAATGTGATTTTATTGATTTGTAATGCATTACTCCAGAAAGAGTGAGATTAATATGAGTGGTGGGATCTTGGTACTGGGGTTCTTGTGTAGCACACTTTCTTTCCAGAGTTTGAAAAGATAACTGGTAAACACCAACAGGTACATTTAAAAATGTTCAAAATCACTAAACATCAGAGAAATGCAAATCAGAACCACAGTGAGATATTACCTCTCATACTGTCAGAATGGCTAGTACCAAAAAGACAAGAAATAACGAGTGTTGACGTGGATGTGAAAAAAAGGGAAGCCTTGGGCACTGTTCATGGGAATGTATATTGGTGCAGCCACTATGAAAAACAGTATGGAGGTTCTTCAAAAAATTAAAAATAGAACTACTATATGATCCAGCAATTCCACTTCTGGGTATTTATCTGAAGAAAATGTGAAAACATCAGCTTGAAAAGATAGATGCACCCCCATGTTCACTACAGCATTATTCACAATAGCCAAGATGTGGGGAGATAACCTAAGTGTCCACTGAAGGATTAATGGATAAAGAAAATGAGGTATACGTGTGTGTAGTTCATTCAGTTATAAAAAAAGAGTGAAATCTTGTCATTTGTGACAACCTGGGTGGACCTTGAGGGCATTAGGCTAAGTAAAATAAGTCAGACAGAAAAAGACAAATACTATATGATCTCACTTATATGTGGAGTGTAAAAAAAAAACAACTAAAATTCATAGATACAGAGAGCAGATTGGTAGCTGCCAGAGGTGGGGTTAGGAGTGGGCAAAAATGGTGAAGGGACACCAAAGGTTCAAACTTCCAGTTATAAAATAAGTCATGGGAATGTAATGTACAGCACAGTGACCATAGTTAATAATACTGTATTGCATATTTGAGGGTTGCTAAGGGACTAGATTTCAATAGTTCTCATCAGAAGAAAAAGTTGTAACTATGATGATGGATGTTAGATAGACTTACTGTGATCATTTTGCAATGCATGTATACAAACACTGAATCATTATGTTGTACATCTGAAACTAATTTAACAGTTATATTTAATTATGTCTCAATTAAAAAAATACCTAGTAAACACTGACTAGACCAAAAGAAGTGTTGACCTCAGAATGTGTTTTCTTCACATTATAATCAGTTTGTGAGTCGCCTTTTTTCTCTATTAGCAGTGTTTTTCAAACTATGAATAGTCTGCTGGAAGGGTCATGAAATCAATGTAGGGGGTCATGACCTGCTTTTTGAAAAATGAAATGCAATAGAATAGAAAAAACAAGTACTGTATCCAACTAACCCTGTCAGTTTTTCTTGATGTGTGAGGCTCATTTTGTTCATTGTGAAGAGACTGCCTGCCAACCCCATGTCTGAATGGCTACAGGTTTTCTGTCAGTAATTATTTCAAGTAACAATGTGTCCCATGGAAACTAAGGTCAGCTCTGCTCATAGTACAACAGATTGCACAAGTGCTTTTCCTTGTGACAACCACTGTACTGTGTTATGCAGAAGAAAATGTACCTTCAAGGGTCACACAAATAATTGTTACTGCTCCATGAAGGACATTCTTAAATGCAAAAGGCTTTTTTTTCCTACTGCAAGCTCAAGGCCAAGCGGTCCCACTGGCTAGGTTCATGCTGAAGTGCAGCAGTTCATTGCTTTTGCACCATCATTGCAAACACCAACGCGGTGAAAAGACAAGTAGCATCTCAGTAATTTTGACCTCATGGACACCCAAAAGCATCTTGAGGACCCACAGGAGTCCACAGACAACACTTAGAGAATAGCTGATATAGTAGGAAGGAGATGGGTGTGGGCGTCAGCATTGAGTCCCCATCTGAGCTGGGTGGCATAGAGCGAATGTCTTCATTAGAATGGGCCTAACCCACCCTCAGACTTGTAGTAAAAAGTCAAAATAATGCTTGTGAAATGTGATATTCAGAAAGTGTCAGTCTACTCCTAAACCTCTAATAAGACACAAAAGAGGCTAATTAATACAATAAATCAACTCATTAATATTCAGAAAGAAAAGTCACAACAGTATTAGCATGGGATCTTTTTGAAGGTGGATTCATTTTACTCTGCAAAAGTTATATGGATTAGACAAAAGGATATTTGCATCATGTCTAAAAATATTCATTTTAAAAATTCACTGTATTAGTAGGAATGTAATTACAGTTAGCACCTACCTCTTTAAACAATCCAGGTATGCCCATGGAAATGTGATGGCTGTGAAAATACCATTTCTCCTGTGTCCCAGTGGACTCAAGAGAAATAAAGCTCAGGTCTAAACCATGAGTCTACTGGAATCTAAGCACCCAATCTGGGGTCATATCATGTTAAAGCCAGAAGCCACCTTTGGAACAATGAAGCACAACCTCCATTTTACTCTGAGACAACAGACCCAGAGGAAGTGAAATAACAGAGACAGTATGTGGTTAGAATGTGGACTCCAGAGTCTGATGACACAGGCACAAATTTTGCCTTGGGTTTTAGTCACTTCACCTTAGACAAATTATCTAACCTTGGTTAGCCTCAATTTCCTCCTCATAGTACCTACCCACTGGAGTGGGGGCAGATAATAATGCATGTAAAGCATTTAGCACGGAACCTGGCACATAGGAAGGGCTTGATGAGATTTTGTCATTTATTTATGTTCCTATTATGTGACTTGCCCAAGTGTGTAGGCTCCTGCCTCCCCATCACCTGGTTAGTAATGAAGCAAGAGGAAACAAATATGAAATTCCATCATTAGGAATTAAGCAAAAGGTTTGGAGCTGAATCCCTTAAGAATGTGTTCTTGCAAAATCATTAAGTGAAAAAGCTGAACACTACTGAGTACAAGAATGTGCTTTTGGCACCAGCTGCTGGGTGTGTGCAACATGAATAAGGGTCCTGGTGGTTTATTTTTTCCTAATATCTAAGATAATTACCAATGCAATATTTTTAAAGTTTTTCCCTTAAGTATAAATTCAGATGTATGTTGTTTCATTCCTGGTCATAGTAAGATTTTTAACTACACATACAACCTCTTCCCCCCTTCCATTTTTAAAAAACAAAAATGGTGTCTTACAAAGCCCTTGGAATTCCAAACAGTTGTTCCATTAATGCTACCAGTTTGCCGTACTTCTTTTGACATCCTTTTGGAGAACAATCTTGAGGACCCTTGTCAAACAATCGTAGTAATGACAGTAATAAAAATACAGCTAATTGACTATTTTGAATTCACACCTGTTAAGCATAGATTTAATTTCTGGAAACATCCAAGGTTGGTGACTCCCGATCCATTTTTAAAAATAGTCTTTATTTCTAGACAGTTTTCACAGGAAAATGGAGTAGAAAGTATAGAGAGTTCCCATACATCTCCTGATCATCCCTGCCGCCAGAGCGCCCCCCCCACCATCAGTGTCCCATGCCACAGTGGTATATTTGTTACAACTGATGAACCTACAATGACATCATTATCACTCCAAATCCATGATTTACATTAGGGTTCACTCTTGGTATATATTCTTTGGCTTTTGCTAAATGTGTAATGACCTGTATCCACCATTACAGTATCATACAGAACAGTTTCACTGCCCTAAAAACCCTCTGTGCTCTGCCTGTTTATTCATTCTTCTGTACTACCCCTGGTAAACACTGATCTGTTTACTGTATCCATATATTTTACTTTATCCAGAATGTCATATAGTTGGAATCTCATAGCATGTAGCCTTTTTAGATTGGCTTCTTTCACTTAATATGAAATTGAAGTTCTTCCATGTCTTCTCATGGCTTCATAGCTCATTTCTGTTTGGCACTGAATAATCTATTGTTCGAGTACCATAGTTTATCCATTCACTTACTGTAGGACATCTTGGTTGCTTCCAAGTTTTAGCAGTCATGGATAGGGCTGCTCTAAATATCTGTGTGCAGGTTTTTGTGTGGACGTTAAGTTTTTGACTCCTTTGGGTAAATCCCAAGGAGCATGATTGCTGTATCATATGGTTAAGATGGTTTTGTTAGAAACCACCAAAT